AACACGGAGAAATAAAATTAAGCAACTCCTTAAGCATGTTTTCTTTTATTCCTGGAGACTTAAGTTAGTAAACGTTCTTGCTGGCTTTCTCCTTTCACATTCTTAGGCTTCATGTTAATATGTACAATTAAACAAGCTGAAGGGAACCAAGGGATTAATCCTTGTTTTGTAAGAGTGTGAAAGTATGCGACTTTTTAAATCTAAGCTATCGCATATTGTAGATCCTTTTTTCTTGACATTGTGGTTTTAAAGGAATATAAGAAGATGAAGTTCCAGTAAATTTACCCATACATTTTTTAAATTGTTATGAAATAATTCTGTCAGGATGCCAAATCAAAAATACTACCTAGTCTATTGCTGCTTTCAACTGATAAACACGTTAAACTAAAACATACTCAGTATCAAATAAAACATGTTAGTATGCGAAGAACAAGAATCTTGGAACAAAAGTTGTAACAGTAATGCTTGTGACCACCAAACAAAATAATTTCTTTTAGAAGTTAATTTCTTGCCTCTAAATTGCAGCACAGTAGAGAGATGTAAGAATATCCCTTTGTCACCACTATTTTCACTTGTTTTAATTATCCATTCATGAATTTTTACTCGATTTTCACCAAAATGTATTCTGTATCCCTTGGCTACTCACTAAAGTGATTAATTAATCAAATTGACTAACTTTGGTCTAATATTATTTGTAACCTAGTTAAAGTGATTAATTCATCGTCACTAATCACTGATCAAAATTATATTATTTGAAATGGCTACATTAATTGCTTTTCCATATCACATTCAAGTATACAGGATGGGCAATTTGAAATAAGGATATAATGGAAAGTTATATTTAATGTAATACCTACTTAATTTTTGAAACGGCTTTTAATTTTTTTTTTTTTTTAAACTTCTTTGAGTGGAATTGCTAACTTCTCATTGAACTCATATGTATTACAATAATGTTGAAGAATTTTGTTCATATTGTGTTAAATTAAATTACTTTTATTTTCAGAGAGCTTACTTTCCAAAAATACGCTTTAACAATAAGGATCGAGTGGTACGAATATATAATGAAAAGGATAATGAAGTTTTGGTTGGTTTTTTGGGTCAAGACCTGGGTCATGACACAGCATTTGCTTGCCTTCCTCGTGATCAAATCCAGGAAGCCGCTTGCATGGAATGGATGCACAAAGCAAGATTGTACATGAGCTACAAAGAATATGATGGAAGTAAATGTTATAGAATTATTTGGAACAGTTTGTCTGAAGATCTTGCTCCTACTGACTGCTATGACTGGACATCAGAATACGGACATTGGTATGGAGGTGGACAAACGCCTAATATGCAGTGGCCAGTTGAACGGGGAGAAATTAAAATGGCACCATTTATTACTGGTGATACCAGTAAACACCAGTGGGGAAATGTAGTGAAGCGATACTTTATAAATTCTAATGGTGTTGTATTATTTGTTGATCCTAGTACTCCATTGTATATATCTATTAATGAAACATATTCTAAAAAGTTTTGCCTTCAAGCAAAACATGACAATTTCTCTTATGTGTATCATAGACCTTTACCTACATTGAATTACACAATTTGTACCTCCGAAAACATAACGTCGTTGCACCAATCTCGCATATATGATCGCCCAGTTTCCACTTTATCTCTCAAAGATCGGGAGATGATTGATAAACTCATGACTGAACCCATTTGGCATATAATTCCATCAAACAGCAGTGAATTGACAGAAAAAAATATATTTAATTATAGTGAGGATGTTTTGAAATATAAATTTCTTAAACATGGACACATATTAATAAATGAATTTTGGCAGGAGAATATCGGTGATTTTGTGCTAGATAATAGTCGTTTCCCAAAAATGAATGACACAATTGATATTCTTCACAGACGTGGATTTCGAATAATATTTTCTATTCAACCTTTCATAAGTACTGAAGCTGTTACATTTAAGGAAGCTGTGAGAAATGAATTGCTTGTGAGTCAGCGAGGGCCAGATCACTATATTCCATCTCTTACACGATATAAAAGTGTCCTAAGTGCTGGTGTAATAGATATCACCAAAAAAGTCACAATCCCATGGCTTCAGAATAAATTGAAGCCATTGATGGATAATTATGCTGTTGATTGTTTTTATGTTGACATTGGATCTGCCTATGATTTGCCTTTTTATTATGAATTTGAAGATGCCCTTGCAAATCCTGATGAATATAAAACAGTGTTTATGGATAGTATGTCTTCTAAAATTGATATTGTTGGTGTGTCAAGTGCCATTACTCGTCCCAATGGACCAGTCTTTGTATCTTTGCCTCCTTATCCATCGACATGGGAATCTCTTCAGTCAGTTATTGCCTCAGTACTTACGTATGGAATTATTGGTTTTCCACTTGTGATGCCTGGCCCTATTGGAGGAAGCAATGTAACCAAAATGTTCAAAACATCGGATAATGAAACTGAGAAAATGGATGAGACACTGCCGGATAAAGAATTATACATGCGATGGCTGCAACTATCTGCATTTCTGCCTGCTATGAGCTTCAGCTATCTGCCTCAGAAATATGGTGATGAAAAAGTCATCAACTTGGCTGAATCAATTAGCAACCTCAGGGAAACCCTGGTAAGAATTCTTTGAAAAGCATGTTTAATCGTCAACAATTGGGGTGAAAAAATCTATTCTGTACTCTAAACTAGTGTTCAAAACGCTATCATATCTCATTGTAACAAGTGAATAAAGTTTTAATCAAATGGCCATAGGATAAATTAAACATTACTCATAAATAATTGTTTTATTATGCTTATCATACAGCTTTAAAGTAATTACATTTAATACAAGATTCTCTGAGTATTTGAAGAGAAAGTCAAGATATTTTAAAGTAGAAACAGTCTCTACTGCATGTATTTTTCTGAAGATTTTTGTTGACTACTTTCCAGTCTCAATTGTAATGCACTTGATGTAAACTATGATAGTCAAGCTGAGATATATTTAGAAGAGTATTGTTTACTTTTATTTATTAGAAATGTTGATTATTTCCAGTGTCTTTAAATTTATTTATTAAATTTCAGGTGAATCCAATTGTTAAGGAGTACTTGAAAGCATATGGACCTCTGGATGAAGGTTTGCCATTTAACCGACCTCTCTGGATGTTGGATCCAAAGGATCCAATTTGCCACACTATAGTAGATGAATTTTCTGTTGGAGAAGAATTAATTGTTGCACCAGTTATTACAAAAGATGCTCGTGAAAGAGAAATTTATCTACCTGCTGGTGTGTGGAGGGATGGGATTGATGGCAGTTTAATGAAAGGAAGTAGATGGCTTCATCACCATCCTGTTGAAGAAGATAAAATTGCTTATTTCGTTAGAATGCCTGATGATACAAGGTTTTAAAAAGAAGAAATATTGCAGGGAGAAGAACGGTGTTTAAAGTAAAAGTTGAATATACTGTCCTCTGGAAGGTATTCAGTGATATGTCTAAGTCAATCATATTGAATATTCCAGTCACAAAAGAGACAATATAAATTAGTTCCTCTTGAAAAAGGAATTCTATTTAATATAATACAATTGAAACTGTCTGTGTAATACCAACTTTCCCGAACAAGATTATTTAAAGAATAGTAGATTCATAGTACAAAATACTTTCCAGTGTTGTGATTACTGCTAACTGATTGATAAATCCTCTTCAGTGAAGTATTATTCATTCCATAATTGTGTGCCTGTTGTGAAGTGAAATTGTTGATTTTGTGTGAAATTGCTGATTCTGAAAGGGTTTTTAGTTTTATGAACATTGTTGTTTCGGTTATTAGTTTTAATCCTGTGAAAGTCCTTATTTGTTGATAGAATATGTATTTATATATGTGATGTATTTTATGAGTCTGAATATTGTTTATAAATGAAAAAAAGTCATTTGTGTATACATCACTCATTAATTCATTGTATATGACATACACAACTATTAAATCATTTGAAATATTTACAATTGTTAAATTTTTTGCTTTTTTATTTAAAATAATTTTTTATGAGCTCCCATCAACACTGACATAGTATGAAAAATGACAAATTCTGATGTATGACAATTGTTGGTATTCAACAATTTGCTGAGGCTGAACACCTGCTCAGAGATACAACTAAATACGTATGAGATAGACGGAGAGGCAGAAAGAGAGGGAGAGGGAGAGGAAGAGACGAAGATGGAGGGCAGAACATGTCTGCCGGGTTCTGCTAGTTGATACATATTGGTCATTGTGATTATTATTACAACTGTCACCATAATGTCACCATTTTTGGATGCAAATATGCTTTGAGTGTAATTGCATCCAAAAATAGTGACAAGTGGGTGACAATTATACATATACACTTAAAATTTCATTCTCCGACCGGACTTCTTTAACAGCTCATTTAGATGGTTTATTCTGAACTTTTTGGATTTGTCTTTGTCCAGGAATCATTTTGGGATCTTGGCAGAACATGCCAGGTCCCTCATTTTAAATTCGGCACCATTGAATTTTGATGAATTCATCATTCACTAACACCGCATTCATGAGCGCCCTTTTTTTAGGAGCAATGATAATATTTTTGCCTCAATATAGTACCTATATTACGGATCTACCTTGGTGCTTCTACTTTTAATCAAATGAAAGAAACAATTACCTTAGTAGTATCCCATTGTAGTCTGTAGTCACAATATGATGGCAACCTAAATTACCAGGTACTAAGGCTTTGGGATTAAGGAAGAGTGGAGGTGTGCTGGGAATGCCATAAATACTTAAAATGTCTGTGGCTTTTGCAGGATTTGAACACCTGCCTTGGTGTCCATGCACTTCTGCATACCTGCTCCAAGCTCCTTAACCACTGGGGCTACGTGGAAATAATAATAAAAATAATAATATTTATTGAGTCACATATACAATTACAATCGTGTATGACTAGTCAATATGATGCCTTGGGTGGAGAGAGCGAAGTTATATTACTGTTCAGGAGCAAACAAGGGGCCA